GGGTGGTAAGGCTTCATTGAGTTATGATTCTGTATCTTTGTTTCTCACAGAGTACATCGTCTCAATCAATTGAGAGGGAAACTGAACATTTATACCTCATGCCGCTTGCACATTCGCACATTCCCGAAGACTGACTGACTGAGTTTGGTTTTACGCCGCTTTTAGCAATATTCCAGCAACATCACGGCGGGGGACACCAGAAATGGGCTTCACACATTGTACCCATGTGGGGATTCGAACCCGGGTCTTCGGCGTGACGAGCCAAAGCTTTAACCACTAGGCTACCCACCGCCCCACATTCCCGAAGATCATACCCGCGAGGATCCGGGTTAGATTTGGTCTTCAGTAACCTATGCTTGTCGTATGAGCCATAACGGGATCAGGTGGTCAGACTCCCAGACTTGGTTGATGACGTATCCCAATAGTATAGATCGATGCTCATGCTGTTGATAACTGACTCAATTATTTACAGACCACCGCCACATAGCTGGAATATTGTTGATCACGGCGTTAAACAACCAACCAACTCTAAAAACAAGTACCGCAGCATGCCACACTCATTCCGTGTTTCTGAGGTCATTGTACGACGCTTCCGAAGATACATATAAAATAGAGACACGCTTGCAAATAGGAGTCATTATCGCAATCATTTAACAAAATTCAATATGACTATTAATATATTGTGTATGACATGAGAATTGAAACTGAGATATTGTAACATTCTTCACATATATAATGATAGTGTTATTCACTGTTTGGAATGTCCGAATGAATGTGTAAATGTAAATCACTCAGTGTAAGGGACACAACTGTAAACTACTTACGTGGAACGGCCATTTGATTAAACTGTCCGCTCGTCAAGCAATAGGACCCGGGTACGATTCCCCATACATGTTCAATATGTTTATTCCTACTTAGTATATTATTCCTACTTAGTATATTACTAATTTTTAAACTTCAGAATATTGCATTATCCCCATGCTTGGTGTTCACATGACTTAAATTAACTAAAGTAAAACCGATTTCAATTACGATGTTTTCCCCCAACACATGGATTCTTGGTTTTCGCTGGCATTGACGTCGCTTTCAACACTCGTGCACCTATAGTCTGTTTGCAGTGAAAACGTACCGATGAATTTCACTTTAAACAAAAATGTAAATCCACTAAAGTGAAATTATGATTGCGAATCCTCATAATTTTACCTTTGCCAATTGAACTTTTAAATCTCAGGATTATATTCAACTTAAGATAAAAGTTGTTTAACAAACGATCATAGTTTCAAATTGCTATTATTGGTTTGTATTAAAAGGGGGTACGCGCAGTAGTTGGAACAGTGAAACAAATGCACGTGCGGTCCGTGATGAGCGTTAACTTAGACTACCGTAGAAACCAACCCTTCTTGTCCTCGGGGTTTCATATTGATTGTGCATTCCCCCTTGTAATACAAACCAATAATAGCCATTTGAAACTATCGCAATCTAAATTTCACTTTATTTGATTTCCTTTTTAGCTTAAAGTGAAATTCATCGGTACCTTTTCACTGCAAACAGACTATATATAGCAACGTGCATGCGCGCGCATTTGTATGCTCCTGCTGGTAGGCAAGACTAACGCCGAATGAATAATTCCAGACAACTGAGATACTGGGCCAGAGTTTAACCTAACTACTGATACCGATCCGACAAGTCCCGTTTCATTCTGCATGTCAGACACGGAAACAACAAGTTCCATATTTTGACATCATTTGATGTCCCGCGACCGAATAGAGCGACCTTCCGCTCTCAAAGCAGGCGCTGTATCTACGAGGCCACCGATGCAGGGTCATACCTGCCATGCATTTATTTGCCAATCGTCCTTTTGACTGTGTGGACTGTGCAAGGGACTCATATTATCAAGCAATATACCTGAAAGATATGTGTACTCATGTGAGCTGTCATAAATGAATAACTTGAAACAAATTTATCTGTACCATAAACTATAAACACGCTCTTTACAAAAGAAAGAAACACACAGGCGTTTTCAGCAGTTCATTTCAAAAGTTGGACCTGTCCTGACACGACTACACCGACAACGACGTGTCTAATAGGGTATAGGCATGGAACCTGGAGAACGATGAATCGGGTTTCCACCTGCAACGACCGGATGATAAACAACTTGTCTATCGACACGAAAATTTTGTGCCGAACTGCGTTCGACAGGTAGACGAATTGGGTGGTTAGCGTCATGGTGTGGGGAACATGTCCTACACGGGTAGATCAGATCTAGTGGTGGTTCAAGTCAATCTTACAGCAATTCGCTACATCGACCAAATCCTGCGACCTCACCTCTTCCAACTTTTTAACCACCAGAGGAAGCTGTTTCAATACGACAACGCTCGACCCAACACAGCACGAGAAACAGGAGCGTATCTCGCCAATGCAAATGTCAATGTCCTTCCCTGGACTTTCTAGTCGCCTGATCTGAACCCGATCGAGCAGCTGTTGGACGAACTTGATCGACGCGTCCGTAAACGTCACCACAGTCCTCAGACATTCGCAGAACGTGCCAACGCGTTGCAGGAGGAATGGCGAAGTATTCCCCAAGGAAATATCCTTATATATATATATATATATATATATATATATATGTGTGTGTGTGTGTGTGTGTATGTGTGTGTGTGTGTGTGTACATTACTATTTGCTTTTGGTCTGTTTTAGATTGTAAATAGTTATGTTAAAGCCCATTTTTAAATTGTAAATAATATTCGTGCAAGCCAATTATACATAAATGTTCAAATGTGCATATGGAAAGTGTAACTTTGTGTAATTATGGATTTGTATGTATGTGTAAACTCATTGCCGATGCGGCTCACAAACTTATTTTTTGTTTTAAACCAAATGTAGTTATCAATATTCCTCTGTGATGAATCATATACATTCACTTATCTAAATTAAACATTTACTGACTGTAGTTTACACTGCGTTCTAAGAAAAACCAGGGCGGTGGGGTAGCCTAATGGTTAAAGTGTTCGCTCGTCATGCCGAAGTCTCAGGTTTGATTCCCGATAGGGTACAATGTGTGAAGCCCATTTCTGGTGTCCCCCGCCGTGCTATTGCTGGAATATTGCTAAAAACGGCGTAACACTAAAGTCACTCACTATAAAAAGAAGAAGACAAAACTCCCAACAACAACAGATTTTACTGCTCATAAATAGAGATAGGTATTTAAAGACACGTTCGTTTTGCAGATAGTGTCGCGGTGCATTTCACTGTAAGAAAATCTGAAATGGACAAATGATTGAAGCTCCTTTAAATCTACACATGATGCTCGGCAGTTAGTAACTATTCTGAGATTAATAGTGTCTGCCAGTCATCTGGTGAGTGGTTGATGTTATGTGACAGTGTTCTTCATTGTGGAATGAGCGGTACTTTTATTTCAAATTACAGGTCACTATGGTTAAATTGGGAGAAAAGATTTTTTTTTAGACATATTGCAGAATATCCCAGTGTAGTCTGTAGAGAGATTAAGTGAATTCTGGAAGCATATTATTGTTAATCCATATAAACTTACTCTTGCCTTCGTCATCTCACATAACACTTCACATACCAAAAAGAGTGAGTGAGTGAGTATGGTTTTACGCCCCTTTTAGCATTATTCCAGCAATATCACGGCGGGGGACACTAGAAATGGGCTTCACACATTGTACCCATGTGGGGAATCGTACCCGGGTCTTCGAACGCTTTAAACGCTAGGCTACCCCATCGCCCCAGATTTCATCGAAAGTCATACACGAGCGTCTTCAGAAACGACAGAGGTTTAAATAATACACACGTAGAAATACATTAAGTGCGTATAAGCTCACTTGCTGATAAGAAGACACTCACATAACCCTTTGTTGGTGATACATTTGTGTTATTAACATTGTCTAAACGCGCATGATGCAGTCTTTGTTTAATACATTCGACACTATTGTTTTCTCAGAACTGTTTCAAACACAACATCCACCTGATCACTGAATGGTAAAAGGTATGCTACACATTGATACAAGTCAGTGTATCGCGGCCAACAAACCTAATTGGTAACACTCTTTGATTCCCCCCACAATAATGTTGAAGATCGACTTTTTGGACTGTTCAAGTAGGTCCAAAACACCAGTCAAGACTCTTTTTGTGCGGGCTTTCAAGTGTCGTTTAATTGGGGTAATATATTATATAATATGCTCATCGGAATGTAGCAAAACAAATCAAATCTCCAACCAACTACGCGCAGCTGCTTAGCGTTGTGGCATAGGTAGTTCCAAATTGACTTGATGCGGTTCATCCTTCTGCTCGACCTTCGTGATTTCCCACGTTTGACTGGTCACAACCCAACGGCGACGATACCAAGGAGAATTATTACTTTTAATGTTCTTCGACGAATCTATACTCACACCTGATTTCATTGATAGCTGTAGTCCTGTTGACAGACGTGCTAATGAACGAAACGGCGATGTCTGTGTCCGCCAGCGTTGGGTTGGGTTGAGATGACCATGATGAACATGATGACCAGACATCTAAATAAGAACCCACGTGAAGTACGAACAAGTTGTCAATCTTTAACATTTAAATTGCTGATGTACTGTTAAGCAATATTCACTCACTTACTTTAACATCAAAGTTTTAAATGATGTCGCACTGAGCTGAAATGACTGCATTAAAATATTTCTGATTTTACATGTTTATTATGTCCTTTTTGCAAAAATGACATAGAGGATGAATATCATGTTATCATGGTTTGTCCTAAGTATTTGACATTTAGACGTCGCTACCTACCTCTGGACGTATACAAGTCTCCAAACATGATGAAGTTTATAAGTCTTTTACAAACTAAAGTTGAAGTATTAACCTTCAACTTAGCCAAATTTGTTTATCATATATTTCAGGTAAAGCAAAACTATAATCTAAATTATCCATGAATGTTTATTTCCTTTTTAGTGCTATCTTCTGTCACGAAAGGTCTTTGCAAGTGGGTTGGGTTGGGTTGGGTGGGGGGAAGGGGAAGGCAAATGTTGGCAATGCGCTTTTGAAAGTATGTATGATGTATTTGTCATGTTGGCAATTGGCCTATTAAAGAAATAAACATATATCTAAAGAGACACTTATTTCTGTTTATGGAAATATGTAAACTTTCCGTAAATCTAATATATTTTTAGGTAAATCAACAGTCACGTGAAGGTTTTGTGAGTGTATAGAAACAAATATGTATCACAAATTGACACCATTTGCTTAGTGTCATCCTCTAATGTTACATTGACTGTCGTAGATACGATCTTAATTTCCTCGTTAAAGAATTCAATTTTCAAAAGAGAAAATCAGTTAACAACGTTATTGTCCTGTTAACTGTCTTACTGTCAGTGATAAATATATATTGTGACTAAAACAGGTCATACTTGGGGGCTCCGCCCGGAGAGCGGAAGGTCGCGGGTTCGATCCCCGACCGCGTCATACCAAAAGACGTTAAAATATGGTACTTGTTGGCCCCTGCCTGGCGTTCGGCATTAATGGGTACAACAAGGACTGGTCGGCTTGGAGTCAGTATAATGTGTCTGAGTGGGGTATTCATGCTTCACTGCGGCGTGGTATCTCAGTGGGGTAGCACTATAAAGCCAGCTTAAGTCTGGGCTAGTACAAGCTGCCGCACATACACATACACACGCATGCACTTCGTCATATGAGCGAAATATTCTCAAGCACGACGTTAAACCCAATTTCTGCTCACCTCACATACTTGGGGACGTAGTGGGCGAACTAGCTTAGGCGTCATAGTGATGGCGAACTTGAGGGGCCGGGATCGAGCCCCCTCCTGTGACCGGGTGTAAAAACCTTGGAGTCAACTTTGTTTGCAGACTCTTTCAGTGTTGTCACAACCCCTAGTGTACAGTACACAACCATGTGCACTTAAAAGAACCCACGAATCCGTTGGTATATGACCAGATGGTGGCCACATGAATACGTGCAAACACCTAGTTGCGGGTATAACAACGTGCAGTGAACTTGGACAAAGTACTGTGACTACTCGTAGGGATGGGAAAGACACATTAACTTGGTGCGCCTAAATGGCTGCAAGAGTTGTATGATCCCCAGGGAGTTGAGATTGACAATACGATGGCACTATACAAATATATATAAATAATAATGATAAATAAATGATATTTTAATAATGTATAATGCTATACTATAAAACCTGTCTGCAAAGGACAGTAAAAATTTAAACAACTTGAATATAAAAGTTAGAGATTTAAAACTAGCATGTAACTTTTTTGTTTTTACTATTTAGGACATTACAATATAAAAACGGGCTATAGATCACAAGCAACTGAAGGTAGATCACAATACCAGGGAACATGGGGACTTACAGTACTTTTGCTACCTGTATGGACCCTAGCTGGATTTACACCTTCCCGACAGCCACTGGTGATTGTAGTGAAATTTAGCTATTATAAAGCTTCAAATATTCTACGATTAAATTTTTGTAGACAGAAAGTGACTTTGAAGGTTTTGGGACTTACGTACCTTCTCAGGAGGACAATGTATAACGATATAATGACAACACTTAAACAATTGCCCAATTCCCTCAAATATTCTCTCGTTATTGAAGGCAAAACCCCATTATTCAGTCATGTCTGTATCGATAATCTATATTCTATAACAGCGAAATAGCTATTTTCCTTCCCTTGATTTACCGACCTGAATATAGAGGAAACTAGTGAGACTGTCATGTGTGTTTCACGTATAGATATGCAGAAAGATCCAGGGTGGCAAAACTCTCCACAAAGATGTATCACAAAAGAGACGACTTCATCTTTGCCTTAGTGTCGAGCAATATTTCAACACTTCAGGTTCCATCGAGAATGATCTGTTTAGCGATGTCAAAGAGCGTGACACGACTCCTGCCGAGCAGTTGCCCGATCAAGGTTACAACATTCAAGGCTTCAGTAAAGTTGTATTTGTAAAGCTGTATGGTCGACATGAGGAGGTAAATTCCAAATTTGACAAAAATGATGTCCAATATAATTCCCTATTTCAACGTGCGCCGTACGTTCCGGTCTGTTTTGCAGATGATCATTTATTTAGCCTTTGAGGCATGATACGCAGTTCTGTTCGCGAACACCTGGTAACAGCACTATATGACAGCAATTCATTGACACATGCTTGTAATATTGTCGGAATTGTACAATCGTTTCTTATGAATGTACTGCGGTTATTGCAATGTGTAGGTATTATATTATACCAGTACCAGCTATCCAGCATAAGTAGTGTTTTACAAAATGTCAGCGGTTTAAATAATCTTAAGATGTAGGGATCACGTTACTAATCATGAGTCTAATCGTCTTGTGAAAATGGCATCAAGTGTTAATTAACCCTACGCGGGGATGACCCTGGTCCCCTGGTATAAAGATAAAAGGTTAATGTACCATTTGATCTTGACTATATGTCAGTAAGTTTACCTTTCGTTGGTACAGCATTGATCTAAGAACCAGTGGGAATGAGAGACATTGGAGTTATTTGCAGAGAAGCCATAGGTGCCAGGCGGTTATGGCACGATGCCTAATTTTAGATTTAACGATTTAACAGCGTTATGGGGATTGTACGGGTGTGTAAATTCTGCGTGTTGGAGGTAAGAGGTGTGTGGGTGTTCGATATCCCGTGGGTCAAGGTTCCCTGCTTGTTATCCCCCGCAACGCGTTTTGCGGGGGGTATTAAAATGGACTCGGTCCGTGCGTCCGTCCGTCCTTCCATGCACATTTGTCTTTTCCGGAACAGAACTTTAAAACCGTTCACTATTTCTTCACCAAACTTGGCACATGGATATATCCGGTGGTGTACTAGTGCCTTTTGGTAGTTTTGGAATTCTGAATAAAATATTTTTGGCGTTTCCATGGCAACAAGTTTGACTTAGACTGAAATTGGTGGTAGTGCTCTTTTCCGGAGCAGAACTCTAAAACCGTTCAATATTTCTTCACCAAACTTGGCACGTGGATAGATCTGGTGGTGTACTGGTGCCTTTTGGTAGTTTTGGAATTCTGAATAAAATATTTTTGGCATTTCCATGGCAACAAGTTTGACTTAGATTGAAATTGGTGGTTGTGCTCCTTTCTGGAGCAGAACGTTTAAAACCTTTCAATACTCTCCTTCCACTTTTCTATATACACACCAAAACATTTGACATAATGATAACTCGTAGACATATTCATGATGAGTATTTTGCAATTGCGGGGGATATTGATGACTTTGTCTTCTTGTTAACCACTTAGTACAACTAATATTGTTCAATGTTTGTTAAAATGTATTCTCATGCTTCCGGTATAGCTAGATGATGATAAATAACACTGCAACTTGTCCAGCTTCAAATGAATAAGGGGCGGTCGGGTAGCCTAGTGGTTAAAGCGTTGGCTCGTCACGCTAAAGACCCGGGTTCGAATCCCCACATGGGTACAATGTGTGAAGCCCATTTCTGGTGTCCCCCGCCGTGATGTTGCTGGAATATAGCTAAAAGCGGCGTAAAACCAAACTCAGTCAGTCAAATGAATAATGTCAAAGCGTTTAGTCAATGTAAGCACTTGACATCCAGTTTATTACCCTATATGAACATGTTGTTTTGTTTTGGTGTATGAAATAGGTTGATGGGCCACATTGTCAAATGTTTCCAGACGTTGAAATGTAAAACACATTTTCTTCCCAGTGGCCAAACGACCAAGCAATCGATCACATTTTCTCATAATCGAACACAAACGATTTTGGAACCGCTGTAATAGAGTTTAAAATACTTGATGATGGAACACATCTAGGACGTTGTCAGGGCCTGAAAACGTGTTTATTTCTAAGAAAACTCACTTCACTTTCTGAAAAGTCATGACTGAATATTTCTTGAAGTATCTGGGAAGTTAATGTTACACTGGAGCTGAATCATTTTACACTGGATGTGAAATCTGCAAATGTAATTTGTGCAGTTTCTAAAAACAACAACAGAGAACCAAATGTTTTTTTCTTTATACTTATCTGCAACTACAACCTGAATAGGAAAATCTAAAAAATGACGCTAACCAATATTTTTTCGATGATGGGTATTGAACCAATCATCAATTGTGAGATTTTAACCAATTCCCAACACTAATTTAGTGGTAAAATCAGGATGTTCCAATTAGTATCGGATAAGACACAGATGTTGGAAAACTCATTAGCAAAAACAGAAGGTTCAGAATCTATTCTGAGCTAACCCTTTCTTGTAAATAATTAAACACATCCTTCCACACAATGTACGCAAGCTAATCCCGTATTCTGATTTAAGTCCATTGGGACTTCGTCAACTATTTACTGTCGAATTCTCACGTTTGAGCTGAGCAATTGCTGCACTGTTTATTTTAGGATAAGAGCGAAAAGCAACATGATGTAATAGGAAACTGACTTCGTGTAGGAAAGCTCTATTGCACGATCACTGATGTGATGCAAAATTAAGTAATGCAGTGAAGTAAGATAGCAATAGTATTCGAAAAAAACACTGTATTGATTTATGTTAGTAGCATAAAATTAAATATAACATGTACGCAATTTATCCGTTCAGTGACAAAGATATGCACAAACACATGTTAAACGTACAAACAATTCTGTCCAGATTATACACGAAAGTTTTTGCATTTATTTCAAGAAGCATTAATGATTGATGTACGGGAACTGATCATGTTACCACTTGGGGGAACCCACAAGCGACACAGATAACAATGGGAGACTACAACCGATATTTACAATTTTTCAAAATAGTCTGTTTGAGCTCATAATATTATTATGTAATTGGCGACTGTGTTGCCGTCTTCAACACTGTTCATTCCTACACATTTCATTGGGATTATTCTCTGAGATTGAGGGGGCGGTGGAGTAGCTTAGTGGTTGAAGTGTTCGTTCGCCACGCTAAAGAATGCAAATATTTGTTATGATATTTTTTCTCACTCTTTACTGTCACTTCATGTTCTTAGTGTCAAATAAAGTTGTAAATATATTACAGAGGGAGTCCAGGTTGCGATACCTCGTGATCAATCGTTTTCATGGGAATATGAGGTTAAACTAACTACTCTACCTCATGCCAAGCCTTCTTACTTATGTAAGAAGTGAATGTATGAATCGAAAAGCAACCACTCAAAACTGGTTTGAATTATACTTAATTTTATTGAGTTGGTGGCTTGCGGGCACATCTTAATCTTTGCTGCAGTATTGTCTGCTAGAATGTAAAAAACTCAGCATACAAACCGAGGTCTATTTTTGGATTTATGATGTACATTTGTAACGACAAAATATTACCGCTGGAAAACAAACTTGTCAAGATTAACGTCAGTTTCGTCTGCAATCGGGAATCGTTCCTAATACTCTTATTAACCCGTCTCAGATCAATCCCAGGGCAGCAAATGGCTTTGAAACGGCTCAGATGCTTTCACAAAAAAATTGATTCTGTCAGTGTGTAACATCATACCGTTACTGACTGACACAGTTAGTCTACAGCAAATAGGCCCGTGCTATTACAAATCGTTGCAAAGGGATATTGGATTGTCACAGCATTTTTCCAAACTGATTTGATCAGAGAGACCTAAATGCATGTTTGATATTAACAAACTAATCACTAAGGAATATAATGGTTGTTGTAAATAAAACTCATGTTCACTTAGGCTACCTTTCATTTTGAAATTGACGGTCCTACTGCTTCCGGTAGTTATCAATGTGGCTATGGACACGGAAATATTAACAAAAACACTTTGAAATATTTCATGTAGATAGAACATCGCCACCAACCATATTCTGTTACAGCAAAGACTAGTTATACGCATATTGTCTATCCAGTCTCACACTGACACAAAACCGTATAAACCGCCTGATTTTGACCTTGTATGTACTTTGTGAAAAGATTGATCATATAATGATAGGTTCCTGGTCTGGTGGCTTCCCCATGGGATGGGACTGCCTGATTAACTACATGGACATGTAGAGGGTGTTCAGCACCTACTAATAAGAACCTCACAAACCAGCCCAGCATGGCAGCGTTCTTCCGTGGTTACAATGCGGAGGCGTCTGTAGTGTGTAAGCTAAAAACGTAGCTGTCATTAAACACAGGGGTTCATACTACCCTCAGACTGAGGAAATTGGTTTGGGGACTGTATCCTGGAAGTATTTCGACTGAATAATTAAATCCCAATTCTACACGTTATTAAGGAAAATGAAAGCTCGTTTGATATACGATTCCTGAAATAAACCGCAGACAAAGTAATAATGTAAATCCTGGACAAATAGAACAATAATTGTAGTTACCGCTTTCGTCGGCAAAATACAGCCACCGACTAACACACATTTTCGCAAAAGTGACTAACCGTGCTTTATTACCCATGTCGGCTAAATATACAGTGTAATATCATTTTGCACGAGGGGCGGTGGAGTAGCCAAGTGGGTAAAGCGTTGGCTCGTAACGCCGAAGACCCGGGTTCGATTCCCCACATGGGTACAATGTGTGAAGCCCATTTCTGGTGTCCCCCGCCGTGATGTTGCTGGAATATTGCTAAAAGCGGCGTAAAACCAAACTCTCTCACTCGCTCGCATTTTGCACGAATTTTCGAGGCTGATTTTTCAGTTAAACAAAGATCAATTTTCATTGGACGACAGGACTTTTTTTCTCTCATTGTTTATAAATAACTCCACGATATTCATTTACATGTTTACGTACAAAAACATCACGAATTAAGGAGAGATGAGCAACGTTTCATATCAACGACATGATTTCACATTATAATCTACAAGGCATTTATTTCGCAGCATGCATTTCGTTTAAACTTTTGATATATAATAAACGTAATTATATGTAAAGGAAGAGAAGATTGTAAACGAACTTGGCTGATAATTTGACACCTATCAAAGTATATGACTTCGTTAATGTGGACGGTCATCTTACAGATAGGGTTTCTCGTATAATTGAAACTCTGTACACATTTAATGTACTTGTAAACATGCACATTGCAGGTCTCTGTAAGAGGACTTGCTGTTTGATGTGTTTTTCGACACCCGAATCCAATCACCGGACATACATGTAATATAGACATCTATCTTGATGTCTGATGACATCTGTACGTTCTGAACTGCCAGTGACAATGAAAAACGATGAAACAGACTGAACGTGAAATGAAGTAAGTTTAAATGACAAATTAAAAGTAACTTAATGCAGAAGAAAATAGATCCGTTATCCTTGACATTTTCATTATTTCGGCATGCAAATCAGATGGTTCAGAGTAGAACAGTCTACTTTGTAGGGGATCCGAAAAACCTAAAGTGTTACCTTAAGCAACATGATTTCAAATACCTGTTAGCGGGATCTGTGCACATTGCTGAGCTGAGGTATGTTTTGAAATCAAAACAAATCATTTGGCTTAAAAGACAACGAAGAGAAAACTTACACCAGCAAGCTAATCGTGTGTCAGATAATGAACTTAAACTCCGCGAATGCGGTTATGTAAACTCGACTCGTTTGTTTGGCAACTCTCGGATGCACATGTTCCCCATCAATATGCACAGTGCCATATTTCCCATCGGCCATACTTGGCACAGATCACGTACGGTATCCATTCCTTGCACACAGTGCCTGTGTTCGGGACGAATGTATGGCATGTGATGGTCACTCGATCGTCGACAGTCTCAAAGAAACGAATACTCACTGATTTGACTCTGAGTGTATAGTGTACGCTGTGTAGAACTATACCTTTTACGCGTTACAATGTTTTAACTGAATACGTTTAAAGTGTTTTGTTTAAACAAAAACATTGATTGCCGATAGACACAGGCATAAAATGACTCTACTAGCGCATTGTTAATTCTGCCTCAAGAGGACTGTAGTTTCTTCACACAACACAGACCATTGATCAATGTGCTTTCGACAAATCTCCCTTGAAGTAAGCTATGCAGGTGCGCGCTGTTTTTGTGCTAAATCGCGTAAGTATTTTTATCAGTTGCGAATTCTTCCCTAAGACGATTTCAGGTTCTTTACACAACGCAGACCACACTATCGAGTCGTCAATGTTCATTCGATACATTTCCCTTGGATTAAGCCATGCAGGTGTGCTGTTCTTGTTCTAAATAATGTGAATGACCATGTCGGAATGCATAATAATGTAATAGAAACTAGAAGGAAATAACTAATGTGCTAATCTAATAAAGACAATACATCTACTGGAGTGAGTGAGTGAATTAAAATTTAAAGTCACTTTGGCAATATTTCAGCCATATCGTGACTAAAACAAGTATAGATTAACAATAAGTCATGATAGATTATAAAATCCTTTCAACAAAGGACAGTAAAACAACTAGAAAATCACAGATATAAATGTAAAACAAGCAATTAAATCTAAAACATTTTTACTATAGAGGACAACAAAATCTAAAACATTTTTACTATAGAGGACAACACAATATAAAAATAGGCTATAGATCACCAACAACTGAGGGTAGTTCACCATACCAGGGACCATGGGGACTTACAGTGCCTTTGCTACCTGTATGGACACATCTACTGGAAAACATCTATTTAGACGATGATGGTAGGTCTTAAGACTTTAATTTCATAAATACATATATGACACTCATGCAGCAGAATCCAGACACATATAGCAACATTACATCATCCTCTTCATCATTTAGAAGAAATTCAATCAAAACAGGTTCAGTATGTTCCGAAGGCTATCCTTAATCCTGATACTAATCCATAATGTGTCTATTGGATGTAGACCGGCGGACATTACTCTCGGCCGTTTCGCGATCAGGTCACATCACTGACTCCAGAGGGCAAACAATGACGAGCAATATCGCCAATCACAACTTACTGAGACACAAAGGCGCCATCAAACAGTCTCACAGGCGGAGGTGTGATCCCGTATCGAAGGCTCAGACCATTACGATAATCAATTTTACGTACATAAACGCCTGAAATGTTTAAAGATCCAATGTCTGACAACCTGTCATTACCCATAAGTATCATTTCTAACCACCGCACACCCCTTCGCGGATGTCATACAAGACCAAGGCCGCCACATTACATATCCGCTTACATGGATATGTCAAATCCAATAGACACCTATCCCAAAAGCCGAATCCAAAAATATTTCGATGTATTAAAACAACCGCGATTGACAAGATGACGACATGCATTGCTAATTGAATGTTAAGGATTACTGCGGGTTCAAACCGAGTAGCGCCAGGGTAGCCATGCCTTGATATTGCAAAAGTGTATATGTTGCCGTCCATAATGTTGACAAACAAACAAAAACGACCCAAACACCCGAAACGTAATCTGATAACGACACATACACTCACGTGCAAAAGAAACGTCCCCATGTATTTTATCCTCTCTCAAACAGCAATAACAAAACAATAAGTATATTCAAGGTTTCATATCAATAAACAAATTATATTTTACAATTCGGTAGGTTAACATGGAGATCAGGCTTCATTAAACATGTTTGCAGGCTACGTTTACAAATGACAGTTGACTGTCCGGTTTTCGCACACACGCCAACAGACACACCACAGCATAAAATGTTCCAACAGTCTCTAGTCACGCGTGGTCACAGACCAAAAACATGGATTTGTACATGTATTTAATTTTCGTTGCATCATTTTTATATCTAATGTCAGTCCCTGGCCGATAACGTTATACATGAACCTTGGTGCATTGTAATTTTATTTGGAATCAGATCCGTGAAGATCCTGGTTAGAATTGGTCTTCAGCAACCCATGCTTGTCGTAAGATCGGGAACAGGCGCACTGACTTGGTTGACATATGCCATCGTACATAAACTGCTTAGACCGATGCTCATTCTGTCGATCACTGGATTGTCTAGTCCAGACTCGATTATTTACATACCAACGCCATTTAGCTGAGGATCATTGCTGAGGGCGGTGTTAAACAACAAACCATCCAATAAAATCACATTTGCAAAGTTTGTACGATCTCACCAATTCCTGTCGTCATATCTCCACTGACCTTTAATACTCGTAAGTTTTGTATCACTTAGTAATACTTCGTCGAAGGCTATCTATAATTGTTCTAGAACTACTTTCTGATGCAGATTAACATCTTATTAGGAATATCGATAGTAAAATGTTAATTTTGAAGTTTCTATCATCTTTCAAGGCCATTGGGGGTCATAACATATACTACCATGAGTTTACAATCGTGCATTAATAAGATACAACTATCAGTGGAAACTAATATCGCTTACAAATATAGTAAAGTTATTTCCGAGTATCCCCTACATTGTTTAAGAGTATATAAGACGTGCCATATATTTACGAAATCTCCAGTGTCCCCATGAATGCTTCTATAACTGAGAACAATTCATCTCAGTCCTTGTAACTGTCACTAATGTAAAGTCACGAACCTTATTACTATTAACAAATTGATCCCGTCTATTTCGTTCTTGCGGGATCCCCCTGGGCAATGTTGATGAATAACTACGGACATCGCCCAGACGATGTGGTGGCAAAATGGCAAGTCGACATCACCTCCTGCATGCACAGATTGTAAGAGACACCATTTACAGGAAGGTCACTTGTATCGTGGTTAATGCAATACAATGTAAATTATACCTTGTCAACTAATACGACGCTGAGGGGGCTTTGACTGATATTCAACTGAAGACAGGACTGAAACTAATAACTATTCCCTTTTCATTCTTCGTGTCCGACCTTTCGTAATGACAATGTTAACTGTATTATTTATGAATCAAGTCTTCACCCTCCCAACCTTTGCTTAGTGACGCTTAAAACTTACTGATTAGTGAGTCAACTTTTGTTTAAAAATTGGAGCTGTAGTTATCATTGTAGAGGAAAGTTTTCAAAAGGTCACACAATGATGAGTGGGTCTCTGCACTCTTGATCTGTCGTGGCAGCTGATTCCACAAAGTGGGAGCATTGACAGAGAATTTTGCTGTTTGTATGCGGGATTGTGAGGGGGTCTTCCTCTGCTGAACGGACAATACGCGTGAGTCAGGGACGTTAAATACAATGGTGCAGTGTCACTGTATATTGCTTTGTACGTCAAGGTGAGGATCTTGTAGTGAATACGCTGCTTGATGGGGAGCCAGTGTAAACTGCTGAGCACTGGATTCATGTGGCCGGTCATTTTGCTCCATGTCATGACTCGTGCAGCATTATTCTGAATCCTCTGGAGATGTTGCACTGCCGCTGCACCGTGGACCAGTGAGTTGCAATAGTCCAGACGGGAAGTTATATAACAGTGCGTCAGTAACTTTGCTGTGTTTTCATCAAGGTACTTTCTGATCTTCTCAATGTTACTCAGATGCCAGGATGCAGATTTAGCAACAGAAACTACTTGCTTGTGGGAGGACATCGTTCGGTAAAGAGAACACCAAGGTTTTTAACCCGGAGCAACAACAGAGTCCTTGGTCACAATTGGTGCCATCGATGCCTTGGTCAGTTGTTGACGACAACCAAAAATGATGAATTTTGTCTTGTCTGTTCATGTACAGTTAGCAGTCATCCATTGATGCACACAGATGCAGCTACTCGCGGCTGATGTCGACTCGAGAGTGAGACGCACACATATACACTTGATTGTCGTCTGTATATGCATGAAACTCTAGGTTATGTTGACAAAAAAATATTTCCTAAGGGCAATATGTAGTTGAGGAACAGAAGTGGCCCAAGGACGGATCCCTTGGGCACGCCACATTCGAGGGAGGCGTATATGTGTGTGTCTACAATTACGAACTGTTGTGTCATGGTTTATCCACATAACAGTGTCGACTAATTGAATCCGTCTCGTCTGTGTCATTTATACTTAATAACGGGCTCAATAATTCAACATCCAGGAGATCTCAGTGTGGGAATGAAAGTAGAAGTGAAATTATATTGAGCTTTGTAGTCTGATGATGCTTCTTTCGGTCTCGTGAAAATCTGATCGTAAACTCGATCATCATTCTTGTCTAGATCTGAATAATCCTGCGTGAGGTGGTCCCGTTTGGAGAAACTTATAGTTAACCAGTCAGCACTGATCGACAGATTCGTATTAACTGTACAGACAGTTATGTTACACGCAGCATACCTGCAGTGAAAGGTACACACTTTTGATAAAAAAGACTAACGCGTTCGGTTTTATAGTACATTTAGCGGTCTTAAATCAACGATAAAGGACCGCAAAATTGAAAACAGAGTAGCTTTATCTTTTAACTAACGGAATCGGGTTGTCAGGCTCCCTGACTTGGTTGACACATGTCATCATATCCCAGTTGAGTAGATGAATGCTCATGCTGTTGATCACTGAATTGTTTGGTCCAGACTCGATTATTTACAGACCGCCGCCATATACCTGGAATGTAACTTTAAATATATCGATGATCTGATATCGTTCAATAACAGTCAAACAACCAATTCCCTCCACTGATTTATTTACCTGAACTGGAATTGAAAGCGACGTGGAAACAAACCACTTCACCTGTGTCGTACTTAGAGCTTTGCTTGTCGATTCGTACATTAGTTGTCTGAAGAGGGTTAAAGCATTGAAGGATTTAGTCTTAAGTAAAGCTTTCAAACAATTTATCGTAGATTGGAGGACGACATTTCCAAATATGAGTTGCAAAAGTAACTTCTGATACAATTCCCAGTGTTGACTTGTACATTTGTACCATATGTTCCTGTGATGTTTAAAATGGCTCAGAGTGACAAAAACGCTGTATGACAAAAGAGATGTTTTCAACTTCCCAATTGTCAACTTTCATGTCGAGCAATATTCCAACAGCTCCAACCTTTGGTGTTTACATTTCACAACTTTTGAGATACAATCGGACATACTCTTTTTAGCAAGATTTCAAAGTGCGCTTTACAACTCAAATTTCTTTGACCAAGGTTACAACATTCAAGGCCTACGTCAAGCTTTCAACAAGTTTTATGGTAGACATGTGGAGGACATTTCGAAATTTGATGCATCAGTGACAAAAATGATTTCTGATGCAATTCCCTATTTTGACCATGCGTTCCCGAATTATTTCAGCTGTACAATTGACTTTGCATATGTTTATGACGGGTGGCAGAGTGCGCTCACCATTTCGCGAACACCTGGTATCATATTTTTTCATAGTGATGTCATCGTATCGCATGGTGACGAGCACTGGATTGTCTGGTCCAGACTAGATTTGTTTACAAACACCATCGTAAAGCTATAATACTGATGAGACAAATATATGCTCATGATATGGTCACGATTGTAAAATCGACTCTGCCTGTAGTCGAGATTTCCTACGAACGTGGAAAGGGTTTTGTCGCTTTTAATTACTCGTGGACATGTTTGTGCCACTAGCGGCGCAGAATACACTCAATATATACACGCATATTGTATCCACATCAATAGACAATTATTCAACATCACATCCTCATGTAGAATCGAATTTGTTTTAAACTATCTGAAGTGGTCATTTGAAAAAAGGGTGTTAATTAAAGAAGAACATATTTTGCAACCTGTTTACCAAACAGATTTGTCTTTAAAATAGAAAAGCAACTAGTCTCACAATAGACAAATGTTCTCTCAAAAAACACTGACTTATGTTACAGTACATCCCTCAAATCAGGGATGAAGGATTATCTGACAGCTTTTTCTTCTTGATATCTAAAGACAGCTTTCAAGTCAGGGAATGAATACATAATCCATAAACTTTTCAGGTATTATACATATCTTTTCAGACCGGAAACTGTTTCAGTCGTTGTTACTAAAGAATTAATCTCTATTTTACCAATAAACCAATGCTTATGAGTAATGAGGCGGACAAAGTTTGTAGCTTCGTTAATGGAACAATCAGTAATAAGATGTGAGCAAGGCTTACCCCGATCGTGACTCCCAACTTCAGCTGAACAACAATTAATAATAATTATGCTTGATACATCTACATCATCTGTATCAAGCTTTGCACTGCACTTTTCTAATAAACCAAACATGAGTCATTACCCAAACAATCCAGTAGTTGAAATTGTTTGAAAGTGCGAAGATTAAATGAGAAGTAACATGATAAAACAAATCATTTTTGAATGAAACTTTGCAACACTTTTAGCTTGTGATGGAAAAATGTCATCGCAGTCTGGCAACCATGCAATTAAATATCAGTGGCGAAAATAATGTTCAACAGGAAATTGGCATAATGTTTGCAATTATACAGTGAGAAATTCAACACCTCATTTCCTATTCCTGTTGAATGTTTCTTCTGATATTTTGTGTGTAGTTTTGATATCCGAAATAAATTCTCTTTGAAGCGTAACAAGTAATGAAATGACCACAATCCCCTGGACGGTTACGGAAATAAGCATGAAAACATATATGCACCACATCAAGTCTCTAGGTAAGAGTGAGTGAGTTTAGTTTTACGCCGCACTCAGCAATATTCCAGCTATATGGCGGCGGTCTGTAAATAATCGAGTCTGGACAAGACAGTCCAGGGACCAACAGCATGAACACCGATCTGCGCAATTGGGGTACGATGACATGTGTCTACCCAGTCAGCGAGCCCGACCACTCGATCCCGTAAGTCGCCTCTTACGACAAGCATGGGTTACTGAGGATCAAATCTAACCCGGACCTTCACGTGTTCTCGAAAGGCGAAGTGTCGGACCCCCAAGTTGCATTGATAATGAGAACAGTATCAAATTCATTTCGAACCTGTATCCAACTTGCGGATAACTTGAGCAAAATGTTCTTGTAGTGCTGATAAAAAAATTCGATTCTGACTTGGACTGGGTGACTGAGTGAATATGGTTTTTACCTATATTCCAACAATATCACGGGGGTTTAGACCAGAAATGGGCTTCACACATTGTACATTGTGGGTAACCGATCCCGGGTGTACGGGGTGATGACTGAACTCTTTAACCACAAGGCTACCCCCACCGCCCCCACTTAGCTGAAATAGTATATACTTGAAGTATTCTGCAAACACATACATGTACTAAACACACAAAAAAGACACTTCACTTGTATTACCTTCTGTCCCAAACATACCCATATCAGACTAAGTACGTGGCTATTGGATAAATCTGGTTTATGGACGCTTACACTAAAACAGGACTAGGCATTAAGATGCGCTTGCCGCACCCTCCACAGTCCTTGGGTCACTTTTTGATTTTACAGGGATTTGCCATCCGTATTGGAGTGCTGCATGCATTCCGCGTGGTTCCCCACAGAAATTGGCGGATGCGCCAGGAACAGGTAAGATCTGCCCCCTACAGTGTTCGCCCATGTCAACAACCAGGTACAGAGCTGTACTACCAATTTTCAACATAATTCATTTCCCCAAGTGTGAAGGGTTTTTTTGTTCAGTATACATACAAAAAGTAAAAGTATAAGTAGGTCACGGCACTTCGCGAGACCTTACGTTGTTTAGTACTTCCAGTGACAAACAACGTTTCATTCCTTTCCGAATGGTCTCATGGTTGTCAGTTGACAGTAAGCACCCGATAATCCTTGCAGGAATAACAAATGTCCGATCTAAGCATCCCTAAATTAGCCAGCTAATACGACTGTCAATAGCTGTGACAGCCAAGTATGGTTGTACACTTGGTCCGATCTACTCACGCCATATTTGACGGTCGCGCAATTTTGGACCAGAACTGGTTCTTGAATAAACGATTGTCACCGGAAATCTGGTACCGGTAGTAAGCTGGGCCCCAAGTTGGCGCGCACAAAGGGAGCCAGGAACCAGCTTAGTACCGGAAGTAGCGCCTCGCGAGACTTACAGGCCCTATACTCTAGCTGATATGGGTCTAAAACGATAAAAAACAACAGACGTTTTGCTAGTTTTTGTGACTTTACGCTCATTGGGTATTCAATGGGTATACTAGCTGTCTTTATTATGTTTCAGTTGACTAATCTCAACATCGACATTTTCATGAAGCGAAAAAGATTGATAACGTGTGTGTTATTACTGAATAGTTACTGTTATGAAGAGTATGGACGATTGATGAAAATGTGTGTATAATATTCATGGAATGTAATTAGATTGCTTACAGTGGCAATGATATGGAACTGGATATTCCATATTTCAAGCAAAGAAAATGCAATTCACAGACTATTCACTAACGATTTATAACGGTTTGTAAGTGTGTACCTCATCCATACCATATTACAGTTGACCTTAGTTCAGCTTCAAAAGTACACACAACCTATATATAGACTGACTGACTGAGTTTTGGTTTAACGCCGCTTTTAGCAATATTCAAGCAACATAACGGCGGGGGACACCAGAAATGGGCTTCACACTTTGTACCCATGTGGGGACCTATATATAGAATATACATGATGTAGTGAATATAGCATAATCCCATGAAAGGCTTAGTAAGCGGGAGACATATTATCTGCACAAAGATCATTCAAATCTATTTCGTGGAAGTCATCAGATATGTCATCTCTTGCCACAAGGAATATACAGAAATTAAATCAGCCGATTCCTGTCATATGAAGAAATTACACAATACATGACGGACTCATATAGTATCAAGGGGTAGTCTCCGGTAAAGAAATATACTGAGGGAAAATAATGTGATCGCATAACATTTCATACTGAGACAGATTTTAATCATTTAAACCATACAAGCTTGAGGCATTGTTTTTTTACTGTATAAATGATGAAAGTCAGTATCGAGTATGTCACCTACGTGCTCTCTCAACTGTCTGGCAACGTCAGGGCATGCTTCCAATCAGTGTTCTTATTGTGGCCCTCTGGATACGACGCCAACCCTGTCTGAGACATTGGAAGAGATCATCCAAATTTCGGGGTTGAACACGCCTTTCACGAACCCTTCCACCAAGCACATCCCATAAATGTTCAATAGGGCTAATGTCAGGACCTTTAGCAGGCCAAGGCAGCACTGTGATGTTGGAGTACCTTACAAAATCTGCTGACACATGAGCTGTGTGGAGGCGAGCATTGTCCTGCTGGAGCTCAATAGGCGCCCTGTTCTCCTGGCAAAATGTTCTACCATAGGACGTAGGACTTCGTCACAGTATCGTACATCTGTCAGAAGTCCATCAAGACGGATGAGTTCGGTTCTGTTGCCCCAGACCATGACGGACCCACCTCCGTATCTGTCATGCTGTTTAATGGTGCTGTGCTGACATCTCTCATTTCGACGACGCCAAACCCGAACCCGTACTCTACCATCTGCATAGTCAAGATTAAATCTGGACTCATCGCTAAACACGGTGCACGTGTAACGCCAGTGACAGAGCTGTCTTACACCATACCGCCGGACCCACTCCAGTCTCCGTTGCTCAAGTTGTCGTCTTAACGCCGACATAGGGTCGTCTGCTTTTAAGACCTCCTGCTTTGAGCCTGTTGCGGACTGTACGGTCACAAACTCGTACTTGAGTTCAGCGTTTATCTTGGATGTTGGCTTTGAAGCGATCCTGTAAGGCATGTCGTAGGATCATACAGTTTGGTCTAGGTGTGGTCTTCTTAGGCAGCCCAGGATCTTTCCTCATTGCAACATCCCCATTCTGACGGTAGAGGTTCCATAGCCGAGATAACACGCTGATGGACTTCTGAAAATGTGTTGCAACGTCTCGAAGAGGGTGACCTGATCTCACCATACCTATTGCCTGCCATTTGTGAGCCAAAGTCAGATACTGTCTGGCCATTCTGAGCAAAGTTTCATTACTGACTGCCCTTTATCCCAACGAAGCTACCCTTTCTACCCGAAGGATGATACCAAAACTCGCGGTTAACGATTTCCATGCACCACTCCTATTGGATATGGTGCGTTTGGGGGCAAGGTTTTGAGTAATGTACAGCAGAAACATCATCAAAACTGTCTACCCATTTAGACACCATTCTAAGAGATAGATGCGATCCCTTATGTTTTCCCTCAGTATATATAGCCCAAAATAATGCTTCGAAAATAACTAACGAGTTCCTAGGAAGTAGGGGTTGTTTTATCTTTCTCGAGGGAATCGTAATAATTCTAAGAAATCAATTCCAACGGTTGGTTGGTTTGTTGTTTAACGCCACACTAAACAATATTTCAGTTATGTGGCTGCGGTCTGTAAATGATTAAGTCTGGACCTGACAATCCAGTGATCAACAGCATGGACATCGATCTACGCACTTGGGATGCGATGACATGAATCTACCAACTCAGGGAGCCTGACCACCGATCCTGTTAC